GTCTTGACTGAAAAATGTCCAGTGATGGAGAATCTACCACAGCTCTTGGTAAATTGCTCCATTGGTTCATTCCCCCCACTGGTACAAATTTGCACCCTATTTCTGGCTTCAACTTCCAGCCCATGGATCTTGTTAGACCTTTATTTGCAGACTAGGAGCAAGACACCAATTAACCGTCTCTTGGTTAAACTGAGCTCTTGGAGTCCCTCACTATCACAGCATGTTTTCCAGTCCTTTAACCATTCTCGTGATTCTTCTCTGAACCCAATTTAACAATAGCCTTCTTGAGTTGTGGACACCAGAACCTGACATGACGTTCCCCCTTACGACACACTGCCCCATGCCCCCCCAAATGCCCTCCTTATCATGATCCCCATATTTCCTCTCACCCTTTACAATGTCCCCCCGGTCCCTCTCATCCCCTCTACTCCCACTTACAATGATGCCAGCGTATTCATCATTTTCAGAGAAGGTGTCGTGCAGCCAAACAAAGTCCTCATGCTGCCGGACCACGGAGAGCGCTGGGCGGGTGAAGTGGGGCAGAGAGCTCTGCAACAGGGGGGCAGGGGATGAGACACTCCAAACCTGGGACCCCCAGAATCCCCTTCAATATGTGGACCTGTCAGAGACCACCCCAAATGGGAACACCCAAGCCAAGGACCCCCAAACCTCACTAGACATTCCCTGGAGACCCCCCAAACATCAGAGCCCTATGGTGGGAAACCCCCCATAAGGGACCCCTTCCACCCTGTCTTTCCAATCCCCTCACCTTGGTCTGGACAGTGAATTTCACCTTGTCCCGTTCGCTGACTGCGTCTGAGATCTCAACCTGCAAGGAGGGGTCAGTGACGAGCTCCTCCGAGAGTGAGCAAGGCTGGGGAAGAGAAGAGGGTTAGATATAGGGGCACCCCACCGGGGGGGGGCAGGGCGATGCCCGACCCAGGGCACGGGGCGGGGGGGGCAACAGGGTACTGCCTCCTCTCCCGGGTGGGGAATGCAGGACCCCGCCGTGGGGACGGGGGTCCCAGGCTCACCTTGCTCTCCTCCCCAGGCGGCATCTCCAGCGGCTCCTCCATGCGCCCCCAGGAAGAGAGCAGCCCAGGATGCCCTGCAGATGAACCCAGGCTCAGGCCTCATCAGCTGACTAGGAATGGGGAGGGGACGGCGCGGGCGGAGGGTGTTGTCCCTTTAAATCGGTTGTGACAGCTATTCCACGCCCCTCCTCTCCATTGGGCCTGGGCACGGAGTCCCCGCTCCCATTCGCCGGGATTCCCATCCGTCACACACCAGGCGGGGAAGTGGGGGGCGTAGGGAAGATAAGTGTGCGTGTGCTCCCTCTCCCTGGGGCCCCAGCTGGGTAGGGGCCTAGGGGGTGACCCCTGGCAGCTGAGGAGATGGGGGTGCGGGCACCCTGGGACACTGCAGGGGGACAATGGGGGTATCAGCTGGGTGTGGTGCCCCTTGGTATCTTGGGAGATTGGGGGGCCTCTGAGGCTGCAGGGGGATGTAGCAGTGGGGGCTGGGCTCGAGCATCCACCCCTTGCTCTGGCTGAAGCAGCGGATGAAGAAATGACAGCATTGCTTGCCCCATTGCTCCAGACCTACATCAGCAATGAGTTCTGTTGGGTCTCAGGCCCTCAGCATATGGATATCACCCAAGGTCCTACAGCTCTGATTAGCTTACCTTAACAGAGCTGTTACCTTCACAGTCCAAAGAACAAAGCCTCACACCCCAGCCTTAGTAGGCAACAACCTTGCAATCATTTCACAAGTAAGGAAACCCCAGGCAGAGCTGGGCATAGACCCACCCACAGGCCCAGGTCTCAGTCACTTTGCCTTTCAGAAGGAATGGCCCAAACTACATGCTTGTGTACTCCCTGCTAACACTGCAATGAGTGTTCCCTGGTGGCAAGAGCTCATACCTGCTGCTGCCTCTGCACTCCCATTCATTGTCCTGTAGCTCAATGGGCAGAATGTCATCCTTTTAAATCAGGAAATTCCCAGGTTTGCTCCCTGCCTGGGACCCACACAAGGGCACACCCTAAGGCCATGTCTTCATGGTGATGTTACAGCAGTATGGTTTGCTCACTCAAAATGCAGCAATGTAATCACATTGAATTGAAGTGCATCTGCACCCCTTTGCTACAGTCCTTTTCCTTGCAGCCATACAGCTCTGCATCAGTTCAAATTCACCACACGGCATTCTAGGCAGGGATCCCATGGTGTAACATTCCACCACTTTGCTATTGGCCCCCTCTCCAATTTAGCAACATCCTTCTAAACCAGGGGTCTCAAACTCAAATGACCATGAGGGCCACATGAGGACTAGTACATTGGCCCGAGGGCCGCATTACTGACACCTCCCCCGCCTCCCGCACACTGCCCTCAGCCCCGCCCCACTCCACCCCTTCCATGAGGCCCTGCCCCGCCTCTTCCCACCCCTTCCCTGCCCCCATTCCAACCCCTTCCCCAAAATCGCCAGCCCAACTCTGCCCCCTCCCTGCCCCCAGGGGGTGCAGGAGGGGTGTGGTGGGGGCTCAGGGCAGGGAGTTGGGGTGTGGGGTGCAGGAGGAGTGAGGGGTACAGCAAGGGGTCAGGGTGCAGCAGGCGGCTCAGGGCAGGGAGTTGGGGTGCAAGAGGGGTGCAGGGTGCAGCAGGGGGATCAGGGCAGTGGGTTGGGGTGCAAGAGGAGTGTGGGGTGCGGCAGGGGACTCAGGGCAGGGGGTCGGGGTGCAGGGTGCGGCAGGGGGCTCAAGGCAGGGGGTCAGGGTGCAGGAAGGGTGAGGGGTGAGGCAGGGGGTCGGGGTGCAGGTTGTGGCGGGGGCTCAGGGCAGTGGGTTGGGATGCAGGAGGGGTGCAGGGTGAGGCAGGGAATCAGGGTACAGGAGGGGTGCAGGGTATGGCAGGGGGTCGGGTGCAGGGTGCGGCAGGGGGTTCAGGGCAGGGGGTTCAGCTGCAGGAGGGATTCGGGGGGCAGGATCTGGCCCGGCTTGTACCGGGGGCAGGGCAGGCTCCCTGCCTGCCCTGCCCCCGCAAGAGGCTGGAACGTGGGGGGGGGGGGAAGAGGGGCTGTGCGTTTCTATTGCTTGAGGCACCGCCTCCAGCAGCTCCCATTGGCCGCGGTTCCCCGTTCCCGGCCAATGGGAGCTGCTGGGGGCTCTTCCTAAAGTAACAGCCACACACAGCCCCTCCGCCCCCCCCTTCCCCACGTTCCAGCCTCTTCCCGGAGCTGCGCAGGGCAGGACAGGCAGGGAGCCTGCCCTGCTCCCGGTGCTCGTCCGGCCGCTCTGGTAAACACGGGGTGGGGGGCTGCGAGGGGCTCGCGGGCCGCAGGAAATCACCCCGGGGCCGTGTGTTTGAGACCCCTGTTCTAAACTGTGGGCACCAGAACTGGACACAGGATTCCAGCAGCGGCTGCACCAGTGCCAAATAGAGAGGTAATAGAACCTCCCTTCTCCTACTTGAGATTCCCCTTTATGCATCCATGCAGTAGGAGATGCCTACCAGAAACTCCAGGAATTTTGGGAGTGGGAGGGGTCAAATGAAAACTCCCATGGTTCCTCTCCTGACATCTGGTCATGTTGCCAGTGCCTTTTCTGACCTGGTGTCAGCCAGCACAGACGTCCTATAGCTGAGCACCAGGATCAGGACAGTCAGTAGTGCAAAGAAACACAAGGGAGTAAGGTAATATCGGCTATGGGACCATCCCCATGTCTCTCTAATATACTGGGACCAGGAGGGCTACAGCCCTGCAGACAACTAGGACAAAGGGAACATTAGCCTATTCAGTCTGAGCTCCTGTCTCTCACAGCCCAGGGTCGCCCTCTGCTGGGCCCAGTAACCTGTGGTTGGCTCTTCGGGAAAGGTCTCCAGCCTTGATTTGAAGACTACACTTGGCTGGGCTCTCTCTAGCCTGTCCTCTCGCCCCCCCAGAGCCAGGGAGAGAACCCAAGAATCCTGACACACCTGATTCTAGCACCAGTTCCTACATAGTTGTGGGCACAGTGATAAGGTGAACGGTCTCCCCCTCTAGGGGCTGATCCTCCCAGAGAAGAACAGGAATTTGCTTGTGAAAGCTTTTTCCAAGGCACTTAGAACAAGGAGCGAAACCCCCCCAGGGATGCAGCCACCTCCCTGCTCCCCCTTGGAGAGAGAGGATGGGGCACCAGCCCAGCTGGAGGACAGGGAGGCAGGTGCTGCAGAGGAAGATGCACTTGCACCAGGGGATTGGGAAGAGACTGGAGCTGCAGTGGAGTGTGGGGACTGTTAGATGGAAGGGGGTTAGAAGCTAGTCCCTTGATGACTTCTCTGCAGGGAGAGTGGGGGAGGCACCCAAGATTAAGGTGGGGTTGCAGGCATGGGCACTAGGTATCCCTAAGCTTCCCACATCTGGGGAGGTACAGAGGGGACTCAGCCCAGGGCGCAGGGGATGGGGAAGGGGCAGTCTGCAGGGGTAGGGGGACAAACTACCAGCCTATGTCAATGTGGGGAGGGGTGGGATCTCACCTGGCGGGGGAGGGGGGGGAGGGAGATTGCCATAGCCCAGGCCAAAGCGCGAGGGGAAGGTTGGGGGATGTAGTCCAGGCCAGTGGGGCTGGTGTTTGGGAGCAGGGATGCTCAGCCAGTCCCTGCAGCTGCCAAGGATCCCACAGCTCATTCCAAACACTCTGACAAAGCTCTCCCCTGCCACATTGAATCAGTAGCAAAGCTGGGGATAGAACCCAGAAATCCTGGCTCCCAGCCCTCTAGACCCCACTCCCCTCCCAGAGCTGGGGATAGAACCCAGGAGTCCTGGCCAGTTCTGTTGCCCTTCTCCAATAAGAACCACCCCATTGTAAATTTCATCCTAAACACTGACGGATTCTAGTGAAATCAGAACTTTATTGAGTCAATACAAAAAAATCAAACAAACGCGTTAAAAGTCACAGCATCCCAGCTCTCAAGGTGGCCGCAAGCCACACAGCGTTTAACCCCTCGTCCCCGTTTCCCCCACCCCAAGATAGCTTAAAGCACCCCTGCCCTGAAGGGATGCCAGGACCCACCCCCCACATGGAAACAACCCATTCCCAACAGGACAGATCCGTGTAAAAAGGCGCTGTGGAAATTCCTGCCTCTTAGGAACCTTAGGACTACACTGCACAGGGGTGGGGTGATGGAGCCCTGGGGTTTAGCCGCAAGAAAAGAATGGAGATTGAATCCACTCAATATCCAGGGACAGAAAGGACAGGGAGGGAGAGGGGAAAAGAACCCAGGAGTCCTGGCTCCCAGCACTTCTCTGCTCTAATTATTAGATCCCACTCCCTTCCCAAGAGTGCTGGCTCCCAGTCCCACTTGGAGGGGGACATGCAAATGGCATGAAGGATTGAGAACATACAGCGCCTGGGACATTCATTTTTAAAAAGAGTGCTTAAAAGCCCCATAGCTCACAGATTCCTCGCCCCCATCCCGGGGGTGAAATTGAGGCAGCTGGGTGTGTGTTGGGGATTCTGATGGGTGAAACCACAGGACCATCTTCCAGTGGCAGATACAGTTAAGCCCAGGATAGACATGCCCAGAGACACTGAGTCCTTTCATGTGGGGGGACTCCTTCTCCCGCTCTAATTACATCTCCCTACTTCAGAGTCATCCCAAACCAATCATCAGATCCAAGTGAATTTCACATGCAGTGATGGGGGACAAGGGGAGAAGCTGCTTGTGAGATTCACTGTGTCCCTCCCTCCTCCAATGGATGTAGGACCAGCCAGTACAAAGAGGCCCCCACCCCAGGATCTGAGAGAGCAGTGCTGGGAGCAGAGAAAAGGGGGACACCGAACCAGGGCTGGGATGGAACCAAATATCCTGCTTCTAAGAAAAATAGAGCTCAGCGCCCCCACCAAGAACCATGGTTGCTGGGTGGGGGCAGAGCTGAGGGCACCACTGAAAAAAATCTTACCCAACGCCAAAGAGCCCCGTGATCTGACAGACTGACAACACCGAGGCCTGGAATGGAACTGAATGTCCTACACAAAGCCTGGATCACACCCGTAACACCAATGTAAGCGCTAGCCCTACACTCTCTGGGAAAAAAAACCCTGATTCCTTGGGGCTGAGGAGGGAGAAATCAAGTCACAATGAAAGGGGAGGAGGTTTCACAAGCTGGAGTGGCTGTTTTGTCCCCATTTCCCATCTCTGGAGACACCTGCAGCTAATCACTGGGTTGGCTCAGTCACACTCTGTCTGTTGGGGAAGGCGCCACAGAGAGGGATGACACAGTGGGGAGGGACGAGGCGATCTGGGCTCTGAGAATCAGGGGTTCGAGCCCAACCCAGGGACACAATAAAAACAAACCACGTGGAGGTAAAATGCTTTTCTCTCTTTTTTTAATAAATTTAAGAACCACCCCCTCCCCCCCGAATGCAGCAACTAAAACAAACTAAAAGGAAACGGGGCTACGAGTCATAATCTTCCTCCTCCTCGTCCTGTGCTGGGGCGGGGGGTGCTGGCGCAGAGGGCATCATGGCAGGCAGGGCCGGGGGCACGGAGACAGGCATGGCCATGGTGGACTGTGGGGGGCAGGTGAAGTGCAAATATGGCGCCGGAGAGCTGGAGCCAGGGAGGGGAGAAGGAAGAAGGTTATTGTGGGGGAGGGGAGATCATCTACCCCACATTCCTCACCCCAACCCTTGGCCCAATCAGATCCATGGGCCCTTCCAGTATCCCCACCCTGGATTAGACCCATAGTCCCATCCAGTCTGGTAGCCACCCCCTCCATCGGGGCGAGAGGCCCATCAAGCCTGGTATGCCCCCACCCCTGTAACAGGGATCAGGCTCCAACTGGATCATACTTACTGCTATTAGGTTTCTAGTTATCACTACCCTTAAGTAGCTAATGCTCTGCTCTAACCACTAGATCCCACTCCCATCCCTGAATCAGGGATAGAACCCAGAAGTCTTGTCCCCCCAGCCCAAGATCTAAGCACTAGGCAACCACTGCCCAGCCTGTCAGCACTACTGAGCATGGGAGGCCCTCTGGATCCTGACTGGACAGGCCCCGATTCGTACCTGGGGAAGTGGGTGGTGGGGCGGCTGGGGGGCGTGGACTGGGACGTCTCCTCCTCCCCATCACTCTCGCTGTCCTCAGAATCCTCCTGTGGGGGCAGGGTAAGCAGAGAGCTCAGCATGGAGACGGCACCACCTGAGGGACACAGTGACTGATGCTCCCCAGAGCTGGTCTCATGGGAAACTGAAGCAGAGAGAGGGGAAAGGGACTCACCCCAGGTCGAAATAGAACTCAAGAGTCCTGGATCTCAGCACCGCCCCCTGCTGTAACCACCAGACCCTACACCCCTCCTGGGATGCTCAGCCCATAGATCATACAGGGAGGCAGCCAGGAGGGGAACCTCCTAAGACAGGGGGAGGGGATGGCATTCCAGACCCTTCACCATCTGTGCCCCATAGGGGACTACCTCCTTCACTCAGCTCCCCATGCACCTCAGCAAGGCTCAGCCAGGAGGGGGCACTGCTGCATGCAGGACGGAGCCTGCGGGCTGGGAGACACCTCCTGCCAGATTCACCTCCTGCTCGGAGTCCGTGCCTGACTGCTTCGGGTCCTTTCCTTTGCTGCCAGTGCCGCCGTTCTTCCGCCCACTGCCCGGCTTCCGGCCCCTGCATCCGGAGAGAGACCAAGGAGTCATTGGGGCACTGCCAACGGATGGGGGCTCCAGCAGAGATTGGTGCAGAAGGAATCTCTTGACCGCACCCAAGGGTCACCCACCCAGTCCCCTGACTCCACACCAGGGCTCCCTGGCCACATACCACCCCAATGATCTACAGCAACGCTTTGGGGTTCCACCTCCCAAGCTCCCAACCCAGCCACAGCACTCCCCACTGGGACAGTCACCTACGACGTGTCCCAATCCCCCGTGGGATGCAACGGGGAAGAGGTATTTAGGAATCGCTTTGCCACATCACTGGAGCGTAGACATCTCTGGTGTGTGGCATGGTGGCTGGGTAACAGCACACAGCAACACGGCATGGGTTCGGGGTAGGAAGCAAAGAGAAGCCCCACACCGAGTTCGGATGGCAGAGCGGGGTTTTGGGAGGCAGAATGGAATCAGCAGAATGGGAATTGAGCTAGGACACTGGAGTTCGTTTCCAGATTCTTAGTGAAGTGTGATCGCATCTGTAGTGACCACCATCTGTCGGTGTCTCTCTGCAGCACAGCACCCCCTAGTGCTGTGCTGGGGCCAGCAGTGACTGAAAGGGGGCACATCCAGTACTGAGTCCCACCCGCTCCCTGCAGCACACTGGGGCATCGAGGCCAGCCCTGGCTGTGAGGGGAGAGTGCCCCCTACTGAGCCCCTGCCTCATTCCCTGTAGCACAGTGCCCATGGTGGCACACTGGGACATAGGCCAGCACTGGGTGCAAGGGAAGAGCACGCCCCTACTGAGCCCTTGCCCCTCTCCCTGTAGCACAGCACCTCCTACTGCCCACCTCCTGGAGACCTTCTCGCCCTCAGCGTGGTTATCCTCCACATCTCCCTGCATGTCAGGCACCGAGGCCACCAGATCCTTGAGGAAGTCGAACTGCTGCTCCAGCTCTATGCACTGCTTCCTGCAGGGAGCGGAGAGCAGCTCAGACTCTGGGGGAGGGGACTGCAGCACCCCCACCCCCAGAAACCCTGGGGACCTGACCCCCAGCCCCTATTGGCTTCCTGAGGGCTACTAGAGACCCCCCATGGTGTATCCATCCCAGCTGGGGATGCAGGGTTTAAAGCCACCCCTTCCCCCTCCATAACAACACTAATCACCATTACCTCCATGAGCTTCAGCCCTGCTCGGGATTAGTGCTTCACCCCTGCCTCCCCCCAGTTGAAAAGGGGGGAAACTGAGGCACAGAGGAAGGGAAGGGACTGTCCAGAAGTGCCACAGTGAGTTGGTGGCAAAGCGGGGAACAGAACCCAGGAGTCCTGGCTCCCAGCCCCCTGCTCCAAGAAAAGTGAGAGAAGTCTGTCCGTAGTGGGGCAGGTCTGCTTGTGGAGTAGATCTGGCATTTCCTTGCTCCAGTACTGCAGGGGTTAGGTCAAAAAGTCCCCAGCTGGGCAGAAGAGGGGGGAATGCAGGTGGAAGTAGGGTACTTACAGGTGGGAGGTGGTCATGGTCTTGGCATTTCTGGACTGTGTCACCTGACAGGCCTTCCTGAGGAGTGACTCCAGGAAGAGCTCCAGCGCCCGGGCTAGGGCAAGCCAAGGGTTAAGGGAACTCAGCACTGGGATCAGAACAGAACACCGCTTGTACTAGGACAGGGGTGGGCAAACTTTTTGGCCTGAGGGCCACATCGGGTTTCATAAATTGTATGGAGGGACGGTTAGGGAAGGGGGTCGTGGCCCGGCCCCCACCTCCTATCTGCCCCCCCCGGGACTCCTGCCCCATCCAACCCCCCATTCCCTGATGGCCCCCCCCGGGACCCCTGCCCCATCCACATACCCCCGTTCCCTGTCCCCTGACCACCCTCGGAGCTCCGCCGCCCCATCCAACCCCTCCTCTCATTCCTGACAGCCCCCTGGGACCCCTGCCCCATCCAACCACCCCTTCTCCTTGTCCCCTGACTGCCCCCAAAACCCCTGCGCCTGACTGCCCCTGCCGTCCCATCCAACCCCCACTCCTTCCTGACTGCCCCTCCCCCGTGACCCCTGCCCCCATTCAACCCCTGCTCCCCTCCGACCCCTATCCACACCCCCGCCCCCTGCCCACCACCCCGAACTCCCCTGCCCTCTATCCAACCCCCCTCACCCGGAGCTGGGCCACGCCACCACTGCCACCACGCAGCACAGAGACCGGGTCAGGCCGGGCTCTGCAGCTGCGCTGCCCCAGGAGCTCACAGCCCCGCCGCCCAGAGCATTGCGCTGATGGCGGAGCGAGCGAGCTGAGGCTGCGGGGGAGGGGGAACAGTGGAGGAGGGGACGGGGCTAGCCTCCCAGGCCAGGAGCTCGGGGGTCAGGCAGGACGGTCCCACGGGCCGGATGTGGCCCACAGGCCGTAGTTTGCCCACCTCTGTACTCGGATCATAGTTCATGCGGATAGAACCCAAGAGTCCTGGCTCCCAGCCATCCCCCATCCTGCTCTGACCCACTAACCCTCCTCCCCTCCCAGAGGTGGGCATAGAACCAGGAGACCTGGCTCCCAGTCCCTCCCATCGCCCCAGTCTAAGACCACTCCCTCCCAGAGCTCGGACAGAACCCAGGAGTTCTGACTCCCATCCTCCTCCCGCCACTTGAACCACTAGATGAGCTGCCTCTGATTCTCTGTCTAACCTGTTGTTGTAATTAGCCACCAGCCAGGGCAATGAAACCTACAGGATGATGAACCAAGCCTGTCTGGGAGGGAGATCCCCCAGGATTGGCGGGAGCACAAGGCGGCAATTGGGGGGTCAGGAGTGGGAGCTGGGCACCACAGCACTCCCAAGGATACATATAATGACAGGGACGGCAGCGGCCACCTTCCCAATCTCCTCATCCGTCTGCATGATCTTCTTGATCCGGGCCTGGAGGGGAGACGAGAGGAAATAGTTAATATCAGGGGTGGGGTGTTATGAACTGCCCCCAGGGCCCCACCCTCCTATCAACAGTCAGTGCCAGGAACATGGCTATGTGGACCAGAGAGAGCGCCCCCTAGAGGGGAAAGGCACCATAACTCATTCCCCTGAACCAGCCAGTCTGCGGCCCTAACAGCAAAAGGCCCCAGATCCCATTCCATGCCCCCTGGAACCAGCCAGTCCCCGACCTAGGGCTGGATTTGTACTCCCAGGTCCTCTGCTCTAACCACTAGACCCCACTCCTCTCAAGTGACTTTAGATCCCTGGACACAGGTGCCATGCACTTCTCCAATTCCTGCATTACACCACCACCCCTTCTCTGGGTCATCCTTCCCTGAGAACAACCATTGCATGCTGCGTCCCCAGGGAGGTGATTGACACAAGAGCAAAGCCTCCATGGGTCGCTGGCTCCTCAGACTCTTTGGTGACTAGGGGACACATCCCATGGCCGGTTGTCAGGCAGGGGCCAAGGCTGAGAACCATCAACTTGTTCCATGCCTGCCCAACCCCCATGGGACATCACCTCTACCCAATGGCACTGGTAGCCTCACACCAGAGCTATTCCCTGCCCCTATTATGGCTCTGTGTTCTCTCCTTGTGCCCTGTGGCTTAGCAATGCAGCAGGGCCTCTCGTTTCCCCTCACAAGATCAGGTCCAGACTCGCGATCCACCCCTCCAGATGCAGAATCAACGCTATTGACTGGGGTGTGTCGGAACCAAAGGATGTTTGTGTCCATGTCACAAGGCAATAATATACCCTACACCCAGCTAAGGGGGCAAACCACAAGGTGTTGGCTGTCACAACCCAGGCGTAAACTGTGAGGACCAAAGCTGAGCACAAGCCATTGAAAACGACTCTGACCTCGAGATTGGGAGCTTCCTTGTTGTGCTGGGCACTGTCCAGACACCAACCCGAGATTAGGGGACCCCCATCATGCCAGGTATTGCACAGATCCCAACCTGAGACTGGAGAGCTCCATTGTGCCAGGTACCACATGGACCCTGACCCAAGACTGGGGGCCCCCATTATGCCGGGCACTGCATGGACCCTGACCCAAGTTCAGGGCCCTTGTTGCACCAAGTGCTTCACAGACACAGAGTGAGGCAGTCACTGCCCTACAGAGCTCACAGTCTAAACAGAGGAAGTTTTATCCTCAGATTACAGATGGAGAAACTGAGGCACCAAGAGACATGTCTTGCCCAAAGTCACAGAGGGAATATATAGCACAGCCAGGCACTGAACACAGATCTCCAGCCCCATCCCTGTGCCTTAACCACAAAGTCTGAACCGTAGCTTTGGGAACTGAAGGGGGATGGGGGCTAGACTCAGTGCTGCCAACTCTCATGATCTTACCATCAATTTCACAGTATAAATCCCCAGCTTGTTGACTCAAGAGATGCAGGAAGAATCACAGCTTTTATTTAAAGCTTATCATCTTGACCCTTAAAAGCTCCTCCCCAGAGCAAAAGGCAAACAAAATACCCCCCCCCATTGATTTTTTTTTTAATCATGTTTTTTAAGGGCCTGATCCCAGATTTTTAATCATTTGAGGATAGCAAAGCAGATTTCAGTCATTTGGTGAGGGGGAGGCATCAGGGACCCCAACCCAGGAAAGGAGGAAATGAAACTGACAGGGAAGAGAAGGTGAAACTGACCAGGCTGCTTTCAGTTCCCATCCTACCCCAATGCTGAAGATGTGACTGAGATAGAAAAGGAGTGCTTTGTGGTGTGAGTAGGCCCCACTGAATCCCAGGGAAAAAGGAGGCCTATAAACAGTAAATCTATCCACTTCTTCCACAGTAGCAGCCCCCTCCTGCCATTCCAATAAGAACCTTTCCCACTTTTGACTGAGGTCCTCCACCCTACAGTAGAGTCCCCAGAGAGGCGAGTCCGGAATGAACCCATTTTATGGAAAGGGGAGCAGAGGGAAGTGTCCCTTCCACCCTTACTAGGACAGCACAGATGGCAGTGCTTGGGTTAGAACCCAGGAGTCCTGGCTCCCGTGCAACCCGCCTTCCCCCCGACCCCTCTGGCCACGTTGTAACCCACTAGACCCTACTCGCCACCCAGAACCAGGGATAGAACCCAGGAATCCTAAGGCAGACCACAGTCTCACTGGACAGGATAGTCTGAACTGCACACATTCCCCCATTGGCCCACCAGAGATGGTGTCCCAAAGGATAGGTGTGGGGAATTCATCATCCTTTGGGGGAGGGGGAAAGAGAGCCTTTGGGTGAGGGAGGCAGTTCATTATGGTTAGGGGGTGTTCATGAAGAGCCAGACCCCTATATGGGTTGGGTGCACTGACCAGAGAGGTCATGGGAGGGGAGATGAGACTTCATCAGGGAGCGGGTTCCCAGAGGATCCCTGAAGAGGTGGGAGATCAACATAATGAGGCCAGATCATAGGGGGAAGGGTCTTCAGAGGGAAGGGGCATCCTTGTGGGGATTAGCAGTGGGTGGTATGGGGAGGAATCCCTATATGGGGCTGTGGGGATCCCTGTAGGGGGAAGAGAGTAGCAGGAACATCCTTATGGGACAGCAGGGGAGTCCTATATAGGAGGCACACACTATAGGGAGAAGTGGAGAGTCCAAGTATGTCTCTGAGGTGCACAGGGGACCCTATAAAAGAGGAGGCAGCAGAAGCATCCTTATGGGGGAAGGAGACAATGTTGGACTGGGGCCAGTAAAGGGAGGAAGAGGAAAACTGGGCCTGGGGGGACAGGTCGAGGCTTTGGAAAAAAGAGGCTGGTGGGCTAGACTTGCTGGGAAAGGAGGGAGCTAGGCCAGACCTGGTGTGGGGGAGGATGCGGGGTTCACAGGGGCTCAGGCTGACCCAGGGGTGTGGGGAGAGCGGCTTATGGGGTGTTGGGGGCTAGGCTGGGCCCAGAAGGATTGGAACAGGGGCATGAGTATGAGGAGTGCCCACGAGTTGGCTAGACCGGCCCAGGGTGCCTGTGGGGTGCTATGCTGGACCAGGGAGGTTGGATTAAGGGTGCCAGGGGGGCTAGGCCAGCCCGGGGAGACGGGGTTAAGGGGTGCCTGTGGGTGGGCTAGGCCAGCCCCGGGGGTGGGGGGGGTGTTGGGTTAGGGATGCCGGGGAGCTAGGCCGTCCCGGGGGCTGGGGGT